GAGTCAAAAAATAATTAAATCTTTTGTAAGCAATGCAGGAGTTAAGAAAGGTTCTTCAGATTTTTGAGCATTTCATCCATAAGCAGAGCCAGTACATTTCTCTGCACAGAAATCATCCCAAAATGTCATGAGTAATTTTCTGCAACAGAACCTGAGTGAAAGCAAGAAGTCTCTAAAACTTGCTGAACAATTAATCACTTCTGCCATCTCACATTACACAGCCTGGAATGCCATGTACTGTACAGTTTGTAGAATATGGTAGATCAGCAGATGCATAAACCAGATTCAGTCTTTCTTGGGTCAAAATTTGAACAGCAACTACTGCTATTTGATGCCAAATCCAAAAGGGTTTTTTCAAAGTTTAAGCAGAGAAAAGGAACTTTTAAAACTTCAATTGAAAATATAAAAGAAGTGCTATAATTGTAGGAATGGAACATGGTATGAGATCTCAAATACACATTTTAAAGTCATGATGTTCTTATATGTCACTTCCCACATTTCCCTTCTTACTTTCAAAAGAATGGATATAGTTTCATATACACACAAAATTGGAAAATAAAGAAGTTTCTCCTATTTCTTCTATCTGTCAGTCTATTTAACACTCATCAGATTTTCTTTATCACTAAGTGAAATTTCATTTGAAAAAGTGGGATTAGAAGAATGGCAAGCAGATGGGAAATAGAGACACCCCTGGGACCATAATGTAATCCATGTCACATTCTCTTATTACATTCTCATCCCACTGAAAAAATAATATCTTACATATTGCATCAAATTATTTAATATAAGAATTTAATGTCACTTTCTTTGGAGCTATGCCTCTCATTACTGCAGCAAATGGACCTTTTCTTTTGTTAAGCCTTAACTTTTCTTTTTTCTAATTTGTAATGAAATTCATATGCCTAATGAGTCCAATATGACCTGTCAACTTAAATTATCTGTTTGTCTTTCTGTTTACCATATCTATCTGTCTACAGTTTTTATTTTCCTCTGTGAAGTTCAGTTATTGAATCCCATGTTTCCTTCTGGAAGGAATTTCTAACAGATGATTATTCCTGTTGATATGTTGATGATTTGGTAATTTATGGCTTGTAAATTTAAGAAATCTGTAGAAATCTCTGGGAAGCAAAGCAGATCATGAGTGAAGAGAAACAGGAGGTTCTAATACCTTATACAGTAAAGGGCTGTGATTTCATTAAAATGCTTTTTTAATCTTACATATTAACTACAATAATGCCTCTGGATAATTTATTTTTACATCTTTTGAATCTGTAATGAAGTCTAGCATAAACCTGTACTATGCTGACAAAGCAAGCAGCTTATATAAACACGGCCAGAATCACCGAATGGGTCAGGTTGGAGGGGACCACAGTGGTTCCTGTGGCCCAGCCTCCCTGCTCAGCCAGGTCATTGCTCTCTCTGCCATACCTACTCATGCAAAGCTGTGTTCTACTTTCTGCCCTCATAAAGAGTTTGCCTCAGACTTGACAGCAGTATTGCACAAAAAAGACAAAATAATTTAGTCCATGGAATTAGAAGTCATTAATTCAATGTAAAGACTGAAAAAATAAGGCTGAGTTCATCAGTTTACAAATGTTCTGAGCTTCATGCACACTGATTTACAATAAATTAGTATCTTCAACTGCAAAATATTTTAGAGGATTAAAATCCAGTCTGATTGTACGCATACACAAATACAGAAATGGAACAAGCACAATCTTGACTGAAAAGTAAATTAGTAAATACAGAACAAATTTTGCATAGATATAATGGTACAGACATTTTGGTATAAATGCAACAGTAAGTACTGCTGTTTATTTAACAGCTCAAGATGAAACTTCAATCAAAAACTATTAAGACATTCCTGTTTCTTAGAAGTCTCCTTACAATAATATTACAAAGCAGAAATTAGAACTCAATTTTAAATCTAAAAAATTCCCTTTGGACTTTCACAACTAAATGAACCTATTATCTAGTAAGTTTAACCAGTGATAACTGTCTTCAAACTACTTTTATTTCCAAAGTTTCTATGTATGGGTCTCATCTAAAACAAAAATAAGGTTCTTTATTATGCAAAATGAATCCTATATAGTTTATGATCCTCTGGGGACTTTATTGGCTGAAAAGCAAAATGAAATGTGAGCTCAAATGTGACATGTTTTGTTATTTCTCTTCTTTAGTTAGTGAAGTTTGCATCAATAATTCTTATGCATACATTCCAGCTCCTTTATAGTTAGCATTCTGCAGCAAGGCTCTCCATAGTATTAAAGTCACTTAGTGCAAAACTCAAAACATACCTAATCATACTCTGGTTTTAATTTCTGACTAAATGTTTAATAATCATGTTATTACACACACTGAGTTTAGGAGGCAACACATTGTGCTGTTTCCTGGCATGGTTACTAGCTGGGGTTAAACCACGACAATGTATAAACATATATACAGATGAAGCAAAGCAGATTCCATGCATTTATCTATTTTGTACAGAGTTTAAAAGTACACACATTTGCTGTTTCAAGGGCTGAAACTATATCTTTCACCAAAATTCAGCTGTTTTCATATTGGAAATGTATTTAATCTGGAAACTTTCTGACATAAGAAATAGAACAACTGTAGTTTCTCATTATTTTTGCTGCCAGAATCTATGCTTGGTTGCTCAACTAAAGACCTTATACTGCTAATTACTACCACATGCCCATATCCCAAGCAAAGGAAAACTTATTGGTTCTGACAATCCATTCTCTCAACACTGAATTCCAAATGAAAACTTCAATTTTGGCCAAACATAACATTTCATCAATCTTGTTCTACTGACTGCAAAAGCAACATCAAACAAGGGGTCCTAATGGCTTTTTACTGTGCAGTTCCCAAGCTTAGATTCTCTGATGAAAGACCCACATGAGCAGGACATCTTTAAACTACTTAGTAATTAATAATTGAACCAGAAAACAATGCATAAAGTAAATTGAACAGTTTGTATGCTGATGACAGAGATGAGTTTCAAGCAACAAATTATATGAGCAGTAGAGATCAGCAAAAAAAGCACTGACGACAGAGTGAGATAAAAACAAATAGACAATGCATATAAAGAAAGACAAAAACGAAAAGTGAAAAAATAAAAATTAAGCACGCCCCAAAGCTAGCAGAAGCCTGTAATCTGAAGTTGAGTTTTTCAGGATGTGGGTTTCTGACTGAAGATCAGGTCCAAATTTAGAGACATCTGAGCAATGCTGGGTACTAGTGACAATGTAGAAGGGAAGGGACAAACTCTGTGTGCAAAACAGGTTTTAACCATATTACCCTCTGCAATAACTCCTTTAGAGCTTTGAAAACAGAGGGATACGTTCTGAGTTTGGAAAACCTCTCTTTGAGAAAACAAGTATGAATATAAATATGAAATTGTCCTGGCGTCTGTGACAAACATTTTGGGAAATTAAGAATACTACTCATTCCCAGAAACAAATCAAGGCATTTAGTTTGTCTAGGTAAGTGATGCAAGCTTTCAACATCAGTGTTTACAGTTTACCTTAGACATCCGAGGGTATCTCAATAAATGCACATATTGAAGTTCTCTAATTGCTTGAGTATTATTGAGCAAAAAACAGTATAAGTTATATCTAATTTTAAAACTTTTATTTATCTTCACAGTGATACAAAACAGTGCTCTAGAATTAGCTCTGTGAGACATGTACACTCTTTCTGCTGCACAGAGAAATAATTTGATAAGATCATAATCCACTTCAACAGAATGTTGCATGGGTAATGATTTGAAAGGAACCTAGTAAAAATTATCTTCTTAAAGTAAGAAGAGGGACAATTCATTAGTTAAATTTATTGCAGTACTTTAATTTATATCATATGAAAAGGACTCCATATGACTAGACTTTCAGGGAAAATATACTCTACATATGTGGATGTCACAATGGCATGTAATGAAATGAAGGATGGCAACACTAAAAGTGATATTGTGCTGTATCTCTATTTTGCTGAGGATATCTAGTTCAGTAAAGGCTTTATCCCAGCACAACCAGGAGCTGGGAATGCCAGAAGGAGCTAGTTTTAACTTGGTCAAAAAAACAAGCAGGCTTTCAAGAGAAATGTAATGAGGTAATGTGGTCCAATAAAATTTAACCTTTGCCACCAGGTAAAAATAGTAGGTTTGGTTTTTTACCATACTGTTTGTTAAGGCTACTGCCTACTCTTCTTCAGATACACTTAATGTGATACAGGGAAGAGAACTGCTTTAAAATCCCTGGTCACAGATTCTAAACTCATGAGAGTTTGCAATATCCATGGAAAGTCAGAAAAAGCTGCATGAGATCTGACTCTGCTGGTTGAACATTGAGAAACAAGGCTACTAGACTTCTTACATAGTCAGTCCAACCAAACAAACTGGTAAATATGTATCTCCTATTTTGCATCCAGTAAAACAAAGTTTTCTGAAGTTGTCTGAAAATCATGCAAATTATCACTGTCACTTAGTTAAGAGACAAACATGATAATTCCGATGCCCAAAATGGTGAAGTGACAATTCACCCTCGCTGCAGAAGTGAACTGCATATGCAACAGCAGCAGTTTTTACAGGATGTATCAGTGTAGTCTGAGTGGTATCCAAGTTCTCTTGACATAGGGACAAAATGTTGTGACTTGTACCATAGCACAGCCCAGGTCTCTAATTATAGTGTGACAACTCTCCAGTGGTAACATCTGATGTCAAAGAACACAGCCTTGTAATCTGTGAGTCAGCTGTTACCACCTTCAGGGGCTCTTTAGAGTCACACAACCACACCTGGTCTTTTTGGACTTACTTTCTGCCTCGGGTTGAGTTAAAAGTTCCGCCGTATTTCTTCCGATTAAGGATGAGAGCAGCAATTTCTGGCACGTAGCGAGCAAACATTGCCTACATGCATGAAACAAAAACACAAAAAAAAAAAAAAGAAAATGGCATGCAGAGAGTGTTCTACTGCAGCAGAGGCAGCAGAGCCTCTTGGGATACTTACTTTCTTCCACTAACCGCACTATAGGAACCACCATATTTCTTGCGGTTTCCTATTAACTCTATGATTTCAGGGACGTAGCTGGCAAACATGGCCTAAGAAGAAGATAGGAGACAGAAGAAAAGACTAAAAAGAGAGGCCAAAGAAAGGGGGATGATGAATATTTTCAGAAGATATATATTTTTAAGATCTGAAAATGCAAAAGAATTAGATCTATGCAGTTGTTTAAAAAGAAAATGTTTAAAAAATAAAAAATTTCTTATCAAACAAAACAAGAGGGCTCAATATAAAAGTTGGTTTTAGAGAAGGTACACACCTTATAAATAAAGAAAATGGTCAAAAGAGGAAAAATGGAAATGTAAAACAAAACAAGAACAAAATTACTTCAAACTGGTGTCTAACCACAAAAAACAGTTATGTCTATTTCTTCGTGAAGAGGGGAGGGGGAAAAAATCTATCCAAGCCCCACTCAAAAAAAACCAAAGCCAAGTATTATCATTACTGTTACATTTCTGTTTTAAAACACAGACTCTTCCCCCCATTGTAAAAATTTAAAAGAAGACAAAAACAAGATTAAATCAGGGGTTATTTCCCCATCAAGAAACAAAAAAATCACCCCCCCGCCACCCAAAAAAACTTTTCCAAAAGTTCTTGGGTTTAGAAGGATTGGAATAACATGTGATAGAAAAAAAGGTTTTGAGGAGAAAATAAAACTTATTCTGCCATGTTTTGTCCAACAAACAGCTTCCTTGTGGCTGGATACTTCGAAGAGCTACTGCCATTTGACATGATCTTTGTCTTCACATGTCAATAAACAGATGAGATTGCACATATGCAATGCTCATACACATCTCTGTGTGTCTAATATATGGCATTCATAACATTGTTTATATACATACCACTTCTGTGAGATGTATGTATATGTGAAACCAATGGATGGGGTAAAGTAACAATATGCATGTGTGTGTGTGGGCACAATACACATTACATCCGCATAGCATTTACCTTGCACAGGGTAAATACTAAAATAAACTTGGCTAGTTTATAGAACATTGCAACAAGTGTAATAATAGTACTAGCACTAACAAATAATGGAAAAGTTGGCAAGACAAATAGTAACTTGGGTGCTATTTACTTATAGGATAAAGAACACGAGAAATTGCTGATATAAAAGGATACCAGTTATGGTCATGTGATAAACTGTGAGCTACAATTGTACTACATGACATGAAAGGATGTTAGAAATTAAATATAATGTGGTTTGCCATCATCTGGATCAGGCAAGCTGCTCTTTAAGGCAGTCCAAAGCCACAGTGTTTGTTGGAATTCTGGGAAGGAACACAGAAGGGTGGGTAGGACTTCTGAAACCGCAAAGTGCCTTTAAATATCAATAGCAACCCCCAAAAATGCTCTACAATCAGTCACTAAGAAGTAAAGGACTACAAATAACATTAGATGTTGAAATATTAAGGCACTTCATGTATTCACATGCATTACTCATTTCAATGGATTAGAAAAATTCTAATTCTGGACTAATTTGAGAAGCTCTGCCGAAATATCTATCTACAGGAAAAAATGCATATTAAACATACTTTAATGTTTTATAATTAATTTTAGTTCACTAATCCAGATATTAGTGTTTCTTTAATTACAACATTGAGATATACAGGATTAAGTTCTAAGGTAACTGGAGTATTAAGAAGAATATAAAGAAGAATTTTTACCAATCCCCCAAGGATGAAGAAGACCATGAAAAGGCGACCAAGGGTTGTTTTTGCATAAACATCTCCATAGCCAACAGTGGACATTGTAACCATCAGCAAATAAACACATTCCCAGTATGTCAGCGGTTGATTATTTTGGAAATTTTCCCATGGATCCCCTGAGTTCTCCACCTACAATGTACAAGAAAACATGTAATGAATTATATTAATTATAACTAACTAATTAACCCTGAATTAACTCTACCCATGTATGCACGTGCCTGTGCATGTATATAGATATATAATTTGGCACATAATATGAACACTGAATCCTTTCCTGTGATTTATTTTCATCAAATACAGAACCTGACCCTGTGCCAAATAGAGCCCTGCAGTACTTCTGCCAATATATACAGCCCTGCTACTCAGATCATTTATGGGAAGTATCTTTTCCAGGCACCACTAAATAATGTAACTTACTCATGTAGTTTGGTAAGTTCATTTAATAAAAATGTGTTCAGAATATTTTCAGGGTAAATCTTACTTTTAATGCAATTATACTCCTCAATGTTTTTGTTTTGAAAGATTATGAAGCTATTGAAGGCATTACTGGCACCTTTAGTGGAATGCTAATACTTTTTTCAAAAAGCCAGCCACTGTTGAGACAAAATTATAAATTTTTCAGTGGCAAAGAAGTGTGCCATCTAAAATTTGTTCAATAGCAAAAAGTTGAACTCTGAGTATTCCTACAGTAGAATAGAAAAGCTTTTATTGAAAAACAAAAGGAAAAAATTCAAAGTCCTGGAAAATAACATTCCCGTGGTCTTGATGTAACATTTAAGGTGTGTTGTACTCTGTTTGTTCAAAAATAGAAAATACATAATTAAAACACTCAAAATCTCTGTACATCATTTTAAGGGCGAGCATTGAACAACCGATACCGCAAGAAAAGCTGGAGTTGGGATGCAATGCCGCAGAGCCGGGCACAGTAAGCGACTGACACCGCGAGAAAAGCAGGAGTTGGGATGCAATGCCGCAGAGCCGGGCGCAGTCTCCCAGCGGCGCCGGCGGAAGGGCCCGCCCGGGCCAGCAGCGCCCCCTGGCGCGCACCGCTCCCCGCGCAGAGCCGGCCCCAGCGCGGGGACGCGGATAGAGCGGAGCGCCTTTTATTGCGCTCTGTCCGGCACTACCGAGAGCAGCAGGAAAGCAGCTCGGAGCCCACGGTGCAGCAGAAAAAGTCAGTGAAGTGTTTGGAAATGCACTCACCAAATGTATGAACCCAGCTGCTGTCAGCCACGTGCTGATAAATATAGAGCACAGATTCACTAGCTTGATGGAATTACTGGAAATAAACAAAGCAAATAGGAGTTTAGACTAGAAATTGTCACATATTTTTTATAGGTACTTGTATACAACTGCAAACTTTAGACTCAAGAAACTGATGATTACTTCCCAAAAGAAAGATTTCCTAAAAAACTTATTCAAAAGTTTATGTATAATATGTATTATTTTTCCTTTGGACAGTTCACATTTTCATAATTTAGACAGCTTGAAAAAAAAAGTCCCAATGTATGAGAGCAGAAAGACAAACAGAAACCTTAGGTACATCAGTAGTCAAAAACAAACTAATAGAAATAAATAATGCTCTTTCACAGATAATCTGTTTGCCTCTCAGTATACTCACCTCTTCATTTTTCACTGCTATACACTCAGAATTATTCACATATAAATACATTAAAAATACATAAGAAAATATGATTCCCAAATGAAAGAACTAAGGTGTTTTACAGTTGCTGTGTAAAATCCTAAGTATTTTCCACATTATTCTGCTTGCATGAACTCCTATGGACTTATTTATGGAAAATTCACATGAAATTAGAGTATTTCATACTTCACACTCACATTTTTCTCTAAAAGAAGAAAAAAGTATTATTTAAATGTACCAAAAAATCTGCAAATGCTTTTTAGTCTCACTAAGTAGTATTTGCCCTATTCTAGCCAGAAAGGATTTTGAAACATGGACCTCACTCAGTTCAGCAGGAAAATACCATACTTAAAATCTTCTGGAAGAAATTCAAATAAAACCTGCTCCCCTCTCTTCTCAGAAAAGTCACTGTCCTAAGAAGGATATTCAACAGAAACACGAGGAACTGCTGTCCATGTATGACCGAGTTTAAACAATCTTGCCCATTCTTGCTTTTGAAAATATTTACAAGAAGGTATAATACCTCAGAAAAGATCCCACCATGACCCTTAAAGCAATACATTAAAAAATATAAAAATTGAGAAAAATTCACTATCAGTGTTAGCAGTAGTGATTTTGTGGTAGAATTGATGTTTCTGTTTATAACCACTCTAAGGGCAATAAAAATGCATTCTTTTCTGAACAAAATAACCTGTAAAATTAACCAGTACAGCTCCTTAAAAGATTTTTTTTAAAGTTACAGTTAATAGACATATGGGAGTACAAGAAATAGAATATGACTGGGTAATATGACAAATGATGAAATGAATACAGTACGCAAAAATAAAATAGTATATCAGCAGTCTTGTCATTAGTGTTCACCAGCACCAACATATATTCCCTATTTCTCTCTTTCTTAAATTATGGTTGATTAAAGTCCTTATTTTCTTAGTGGTAACATTCATTTACAGAACAGGACTCTAACCAATGGGTTCCTAGATTAAACAAAATCCTAGGAGTGATGCTGATGCAAAGCTCCATTATGAAAGGCTGAATATCTTCCTTCACCTGAGCTTAGAACACGAGACGTTCCTGATAAAAAAATTATGTGTCTGTTGGTCTCTTCATATCACTGGAATACCCATTAACAGTAACTATTTACATGACTTGTTTGGTACATTTTATTCTTGAAGATTTATTAAACACTGTGCCTTGTCTGTCCTCTATGAAATACTCCCTGTGTTTCTGCCAGAGTCTAAATATAGATGAAGGATTAGTCATAAATATTTTCTCCCTCTTTAAGCTCTTTCCAACATCTGTGCAAAATCCCTTACTGTGAGCCCTGCCTAAGCCCCTGCAGATTTTTTGAAAAATATTAGAAAACAATGAAGGAGAGAAATTTTTCAACTGAAAACTGTAGAATTCAATTTCATAAAACATGGGAACAAAAAATCTTGAATAAAATAAATTTAATTTCAAATAAGGGAAACAAAGGGGTCCTTGGCAGAGTACAGTATTTTAAAGTGCCACTGTAAAATTTTGTTTTATCTTACAGGATCTTTTCAAATACATTTAGCTTTTTTTTTCAGATATTCTAATAACCACCTAACACTCTGCTAGTCACCTTACTGCCTCTGGTTTTGCACTGTGCAGCTTTTTTCACTGGATTCCAGTTTTTGGAATGGCCCTTCTGCTCACTGTGTAAATAATATATATTCCTTTAATCCTCATACCTCAGTCAATAATTCTAGCAGTAATTTTCATTTACAGGTTACAGTAAATGTTTTTCTCTACTGGAGAAAAGAGCAAAGGAGGAGAAAATTTCTCAGCAATTTCAAAAAATATTAAAAACACAGCAGTGCCCAGTACACCATATCAGTTTCTCATCTTCTCAGTTGTTTTGTATTATTAATGCCAAATGCACTGAAATGCCTAGGTCAAATTAGTTCCATACATTCCTCATATAAACCTCACACAGAGAACTCTTTTCTTTTGCTGAATTTTTAAACAATAAAAAGTACTTTTTTCCCCCTACTATAATTTCAGAGCTAGTATGATACATTGAATTTTCTATCCCAATTCAACAATTCAAGTTCTGTTCATTGACTCTTAGTCTTTATGCTCACAAAATTCCTAAAATGTCAAAAATTTCAATAAAACTTTAGAAGTGGATTGCAAAAAATGCTAAAATATCTTACTTCTTGAAGATTTTTAACCGTTCCTGAGCAAAATAATGTTGCAGTAGTGGGCCAAAAGAATACAATACCATATAAGACTTTAAAGTAATAACAAAGGTCTAAGGCCACAATATGTAATTGAAATCATTGATTGAATTTAGGGAAGCAAATTTTATTTAACTAATACTAGATTTGTTGAGACTACTAGTTTTACTGCTCTAGCTTGTACAAAATTTTTAAAGATTCTCCATCTATCACAAGGGATCATCATGCTTTATTTTTTTAGGAAACAAAATAATTCAGAACCAGAAACTCTCAATTAAATAGCATTCTGGTACTATAATGGAAAATGTGTGTGCAGCACATGAACTGCAGTTCTGATGGTACTTCAGAACACACTGAAAATATGAAAATTTCTCATTGAAGGTAGCAGTAGCAGTAATAAATTAATTTTCTAGCTTGTTCTTTCTAAAAGCTAAACTCATGCACGGCATTAAAAGAAACCCCAAGCACTTACACAATTAAATTTATGTCAGGTGTAACTAGAAACTCTTCTAAAACAAATTGCATTCTGTTAATTTGTTTTAATTTGACACACCCATTAAAAAAAAAAAAAAGTTTTGTGAACATTGCTGACATTCCAAATTATTTAGGTCATTTCAGGTAATTTAAGTAAGACAATAAATAGAGCAGACATGACTTTCTGTTGCATTACCGTGAACTGGGAGAGACATAAAAAACTGTTTTGGGGCAGTGACAATTTTTCAGTTAAATAAATTATGTTAGTGATGAACTGCTAAGGATGAATTAACTGACTAAACTGAAACAGTCATAAAAGAAAGTTTTGCTTTACAGGCTTTCACTAATCAACATTTGAGGTTTATAGATATTTTGACAGACGTATAAATATCACAGAGATTATGATATCTAATAAAAGAGTAAATTCTGCACCAGAGAAAGGCTATTTCAATGAACAGGTCAATCATAAATATACCAGCTCTGAGTACCTTGAATGTGATTAATGCACATTTATGGATCGGGAATTTCACAAATCCCCCACTACTGAAGGGGCTATTAGCTTTTCTCCAAAATCTTTGAGTTTATGGGGCTTCTCCACTAACTGCCATTTCTGACTGCCATGGCAGGGCTGTTCTGCATATTAAATCCTATTCTCCCTTCCCATCCTGAGAATTCTGAGCTATGGGACTTCACCTTACATTCTTTGATGTCTTTGTTTGACCAGAATTGGCTTCCTTCCAGTAACACAACTAAAGACAGATAGTGTGACAGCTTTACAGTACAGAGAATAGTTTCAAGGTTAAGGGTTGAAGAAACAGCTGTTTACTGTGAATATTTACACATTTCAGCACCTATTTTCCCATTGCTACAAATTATCACAGCAAGAAATTGATTTACCTGCATGTAAAGCCCTCACACATGTATAACAACTGGTGCAGAGAGAGCAAGTTTTCAAAATGGAATTGATTTTGCAGTAATTATTGGAAACTGCGTTCAATACTTCCCCCGGAGCACTTTAGAGAACAATGAAAAACAATGTGTCTCCAACTGCAAGGCATGGGATGGTTTCTCTTTATTTCCTTCAAAACGATCTTTTGTCCAAAATTGTGCTTTTCCTGCACAACATTGATGTATTAATAGGCCAAAGAACCAGCAAGCCAGAAGGTTAATTGGAGTATTTTAATTATTATATGGAAGATATTCTAAGGATAACGAACACAATACAAAGATAGCTCAGTGTAAATTTAATGTTTTTGATGTGAAAAAAGATCCTCAGTTCAAAAAAACTGGAAGACCCATAATGAGAATTACTCAAAATACTTTTTAACTGTATTCTTTTGAATGAATTTTGATTTCAGGGTTTTCAAGACAGCATAAGATGAACTGACTATATGAAAAGAAGCAATGTTTAGTCTGTACAGAGCTATGTAATTAATTCTGCTTTTAATTTATCAACACATAACCTTGCTTGGTATTTCAAATATTACAATGCACCAATTAAAATGATCACATAGCAAAAGATGCTGTCCTGACAAATCATTCATCAGCAGAAAAAGGTTTAAAGAACAGATAACAAGTGGGGGGGTTTTCCAGAAAAGAAAATCATACATCATTAGGGCCCCAAACCAAAGCCATTTACATTCTGTCACCAATGCAACTAAATCAGCATGTAAGAAAAAGTCTTACCTTGTTTTAAGAATATTCAGAAACTGCAAGATTTCTGAAAACTGTATCAGTCTAAGGGCTCTTAAAAATCTTAAACCTGCAGTAAAAGAAAACAAAGTTGTAGTAAAATAATAATTCAAATTGTAACAGCATACCACAATGACAATGATCAATTAAATCAACACAGGTAATATACAAAATGTCAATTACCTTTGAAATGCTCTTCCATATTTAATTGTTCAAGGATCCTTGACAGGTATTTTTCAAATTGTTTTAAATTTATTTCCCTAATAACAGGTTTATCCCACCAGAAAGTGTTAATTTATATAGGAAGTAATGGAAGGAGACAAATAGGCTGAAAGCTAAGGGGGAAAAACCTCACTGAGGTTTCTGCTGGCAGTTGCAGTGCACATGTCCTTCTCTTTCAGGCTGTCAAAGACACAGGCAGGTCTGAAATATCTCAGTCCTCCAAGCTCCCACATTGCTTAGTGAAATATAACAGATCATGGGCAAGAGATCTGATAACCTGGATAAAGTAGACTGTATATGCCTGATTAAATTTGGTAAATCTTAATGACGTTAAATCTTTTATAGTAATAATGCTCCCTATCTCCACTCTAATTTCAAAAACCTCATGCAGGAAAACAGAGAAATCACACTTTTTCTCTTAAAAATGGCAAATTTACTATAATCGTTTCCATCAGTCTATAACTATAGGAATACATTACACATCACTATTTTAAAAACAATATTTTTACAAAGAAATAGCATTTTTATGTTGAAATCAGATTGCGTGCATAGCAATTCCCAGACAACTAAAAAGTCAGTAAGACAAAGAGTGTGTGTGTAAGTGAAACCAATCAAGAAGATTAAGGGCTTAAATTATTAAAATAGTCTTACGCTGATAGTAAATGATTTGGCTGCACATCTTTGGCATATGAATGAAAGTACACTCTGTACTGTACATATGCACAGTTTATAAAATTAAAGTAAAGCTCGAAGGATAATTTTTATTAGAGAGTACAGCCAGGAGTTACATAAAAGTTGTGTAATGTGATATTGCAACTGTTACAGGAAGGTCCAGAGCAGCTTCTTCTCATACATTCTCTTTATGGACATCTATTTTACCCAACTCCAGTGCAGGAAACCACTTTTTATTTCCAGAAACTTAAGGAAATAGTGATCTTGGCAAACATATAAACCTGGTCACAACTTTCATCACCTCACTGGAATAAAAGGTTCCCCTCAAGCACAAAGGTGCATATGGCAAGATGTGTTTAAATCAAGAAGTTTTTCCTGCAGTAGTATTGGAAAGTTGCTAAATAAAATATTTGCTCTTACATTTTGCCTTTTTAAGACTCCTAAGTAGTGTTAAAGTACACACATGTCAATTATACGGATATAAAGTTTCTTTTTAATTACTGACTGTGGGTAACTCTGAAAATTAATCACAACTTGCTAAATGGATTCAGGGACCTAAATGAAAAGCAATAAAATGAAGCTTAATAATGCTAAATGTCAGACACATTTGCAATTAGAGAATGATAACTTTGGATCATATTGTTGAAACTGTGAGAGACACATCCTTCTGTTCCACTTCCAGGAGTTCCCACAGCTGCTACTCCTATCCAAAGAGATGTGGTTAGACAGGGAAGGAGAGGATCCTTACTAGCAATCATAAACCTTCCAGCTTTTTCATCCAGCTGCTTTCCTCACTCAGCTCCCTGTAAACTTTTATGAAAAATGGCTGTAGTGAAAAACACTGCCTCTAAAATATTTTGCATCTGAAGCTAACTATAAGACCAAGTTAACCATTGCTATGTTTTAAAAAGAAACCTGAGAAACATCTAAGTTAGCAATAAAACCTCTATCTCCAAACCTTATAAGGGTTAAGTTACATTTTAATAGCTGAGACATCAAATGATAGAAGAAAAATACTATGGGTTCAATGTGATTTTTGTGGAAAAATAAAATCATTATAGGTGAAGTTCTGCATTTGTTTGCTTGGACAGTTTAACTACAAAATAGGGCTGGCTTTCAATTATAAAAGCCAAATGAATTACTACACGTCAAATTAATTCTTTCCAGTATCCTGAAATTTCCTAGGCACGAACAGATCTCCTATTGTATTCCTATATGTGTTTCATTTAATGTGATTTTCACAGAATCATACAATAGTTTGGGTAGAGGAATTTTCAAGGTCATCTTGCCCAACCATCCCTGCAATAAGCACCTAGATCAGGTTTCTCAGAGCCCTTTCTGGTTTGACCTTGAATGTTCCCAAGTTCGGGGCATCTACCACCTCTCTGGGCAACCTGCTCCAGTGTTTCACCATGCTCATTGTAAAAAAATTCCTTATCTGTATTCTAAACAATCCTCTGTAATATTGAAACCATTACCCTTTCTTCTATTGCAGCAGGTTCTGTTAATGTCTGCTGCCTTCAGGCACTGAAAGGCCACAGTAAGGTCTCCCCAAATCCCTCTTTCCTCCAGGCTGAACAACTCCAGCTCTCAGCCTTTCCTCATGGAGAGGTCTTGCATCCCCTTTTTTGTGCTGAGGGCCCCAGAGGAGGACACAGAGCTGCAGGTGGGGATCACAAGAATGGAGAAGAGGAAAGAATTTCCTCCCTTGCCCTGCTGCCCATGCTGCTTTGGATGCAGCCCAGCACACAATTGGCTTTTTGGGCTGCGAATTCCCATTGTTGGCTCATGTCCACATGCACTCATGCTGGGTGCATGTGCATCTGCAAGCACCCCCAACCCTCCGCAGGGGCTGCTCTCAACCCCTTCCTCACCCTGCCTGTGTTGACTCTGGGGCTGGACCCAACCCAGACACAGAACCCTGTACTTGGCCTTGTTGAGCCTGAGGAAGCTCCCACAGACCCACTTCTCAAACTTGTCCAGGTCGTGCTGGATGGCATCCTGTCCCCTCAGGCATGCCACCTGCACCACTCAGCTTGGTGCTCTCTGCACGCTTGCTGAGGGTGCACTCAAACCCGCTGTCTCACAACTGATACCTCTTTCGGGCCTACTCCCTTACCGAGAACAGAAATAGTTATTTGTTTGTGCATCAAAAATAGAAAGCAAAATTCACTAGTAGGAGCACTAACAAAAATTTCCCCTTTTCCAAAGCTGTTTCAGCTACATATACAAATGTATACAGCTCTCTTTCCTTAGCAAAATTTGGTAATGTGTTTAATACAAGTGGAGAAGAAGAATTTCTTTTCTTATGAAATACCTACAAAACTGTTTTACATTTAAGTGATATAACCAAGAGTTGAGATATGGTAAGTTTCCTATGAATAACAGTAAAGTCCATTCTAATTTTGCACATTTCATGAACCCTGTCTGCTAAAGTTAATTGTAAACTGCTAAACAGAATGCTCAGGAAGTGCTTGCGACTTTCTCTCCATCATGCAACTGAACTTTTTCTTGGCAAAGAGTTTTACATTTGAATTTTCTTATGGGATCTGTCTAGAAAAGGATATAATCTGCTATACAACAAATTAAACAAAAAAAAAAAGTATCAAAATATTTCATTTACCCCAAAAATCTCTCTAATAAGAGAAAAAATACACAGATAAAATAAAAGAAGTTTATTGAGTTTCTCAAGTCTTCTGCTTCTAAATGGATGACTAAAATACGCTTAGGATTTGAGTTCATTTCAGCCGCAATATCCAGAACAAAGCTAAGATCTTCATAGATATCAAGAACAGAAAAAACTTTTAAGATTATAAGCAATATGAACAGATTCCTTAAACAATATGAGACAAAGTGTTTTAGTCAATTGTTTTTGCCTCTAGTACAATAATCTGATTGTAGGTATGATGATTCAAATAAACCTTCAGCTCTTCCACAGGATTATTTTCTTACTGCAGAAATATTTGTTTAGCTATTGTGTTGCCTGTGCAGCAAACAGACAGTTTTCAAAATACATTAAAAATATAAAATATGTGTGTAATATTATTTCATACCATGGTGTTCAACCTAAAATCTGTAAAAAATGGTCACTAGGAGAGGCCGCATATTGCCAAAAACCCCTGAAATCTGTTTTAGCGAAATCAATTATCTGTTCAGTAGGAAGACTATACCATGCTGAACTACCAGGCTACATCTAGAATATAGCAGGAGTACTTTTTTCTGACTCTTTACTAAGGACCCAGCAAAATGGATGGATTCTTTAGAACAGAATAGTGATCCTGACATGGCAAATAAACTATGTGCCAGTAGCAATGCAGTTACAGTAGAAAATTATTTCAGCTATAAAGTTTACAGCAAAGTAAACAGTATTATTTAGAGCTTTGACTTTAAAGGCAATAGGGTATTTTCCTGTCTGTCAGACAGTTTCTCTTTGCTGAACTGATGCTTTCCACTGGACTAATATACAGAAGCAGCCAGGATTAGCTATAGGTTGCAAACTCCAACATCCCCCTGTCCTCCCCCCACCCCCCCAAAAAAAAAGGAAATGTCCCATTTTAAATGTTTAAAGGGAAAGGCAAGGAAATCATGACAACAATACTTATAAGATTTAAATGAGACTCTAATAAATAGAAACAGGAATTGGGATATTTCTTCATTCAACATGAGAGGTCAATCTACAAGAACAGCACCAAGCATTACTATGTTTCTCACCAATGAGATATGTAATCCCCATTTTACTGCCTTAGGCTGCTTATTTTTATTCTAATAGACAATAGTATGTCCAAAATATTGCTGTAAGGGTTCAATACACAGAGATTCTGTTTACCACTTCTATTCCTGACGAACCATTTATCCATTTATCAGAACAGCATCTTCATCAAACCTATCAATGGCTACTTCCACCCTAGAATTTATTAAGACCACACAGTTTACTGAAGTCAGAAAAAAAACCCAGAATCCATATTTAGGAAAATCTTTGAGACACAGGATGGAGGGATAAATCCAAAATAATCCCATTCTGAACATCTTCAAAGAGTGCAGCAGAGTTTTCTGAGATCTTGAAAATGAAAGTTCAAAGAAAAAAGACAAGAACTAGAATAGAAGGAAAAGGATCTGTCAATTCCTTGGAACCAACCCAGACAAAATATTTTTTATATTTCCCCACCTCTGTTATGC